CTTTTATTTCCACTGTCTTTATCTCCGTATATTTTCTATCTTCTGCCCAAAAATCACGTCCATTAGGTGCTGATTTTCTACTGCTTTTTCTAAGTGGTCGGAGTTGACGCTGTCGACGGCCGCAGAGGGGCAAGAAAATTGTGCCTTCTCAAGTTGCCCCTATTAGATTCTATGAGAAACATTCGAATCTATTGAAAATAAATCCTAACGCAGCGATATCTATTGTTAGGATTCGGATTTACGGTTTAAATTTTATTTAGACTCTGAGACATTTCTCATTTATGCTGTTGGAGATCGTCTGAACCTTAAAGTCTGTTGGGTTGCCGGACTAGGCCTCACCATCATCGGACTTCGACCGTCTCACGTCTTTGGTTGCTCTTCGGGCCCGTCAGACCGTCTCGGATCGTAGGTGGCTATGTCGAACCGCTCTGGAGTCACCCTGGGCTCGCCGGGGCTACTGGACCGGCTTGGACCACTTCTAGGCGGATTAGACGGGGTGTGGTGTGCTCTTCCAGACTAGGCCGAGTCTGGTACGCTGCTTGCAGACTGAGCCGCGCCTGGCAGTCTTGTCGGGCCTGGGGGCACGCGGGTCACGCAGCACGCACGGACTCTGGGCGTTGGGACGACACGGGTCGCTGAAACTTCATGCACGGGCACTGGGGAGCACGCGGGTCGCACGAAGAGTTCGCGAAGCTGGTTGTTGGGTTGCGTTGGCGCAGGAGTTCGCTGTCGGGTTTTGCGAAAAGCACCGTGCAGGTCAGGAGATGCGCACGCGGGCTGTGCGCTGGGTTGCGGGTCTCTATGGGTCTGCGCGCGGCAGAACAGGTCTCTGTGGGTCTACGTGCGGCTGCGCGCCATCAGGGCCCGACTGCGTGCGACTGACTCTGATAGGTGCGGGACGACGATTGTCAGGTTTTGGTGGTTAGAATTCTCGATTTTCATGAAGAACGGTCAACCCTGCGAATTATATAAATTTTAAGGAGTTCGAATATATTGTACAGAATACGAATAAAAGACCAAAAGCTCTTTTATTGTATTACCCAAAACACTTTCTTCAAACGATCTTGGTGGAGCTATCGAACGAAGTTCTCAAATCTCACAAACTCTCAAGAAAAAGCAAAGAACCGATCGAATCTCTCTTGGGAGAGAATAAGCCGAACGTGAACTTATGAGTCAATCTCGTGTTTGGAGGCTTGAGACTTGATGTATTTATAGGTCTACAGTAGAGACCTAAATGAGGTGTTAAATATGGACTTTCCAAGCATGAGCCCTTCTGCGGGCCAAGCTCACTCCGCTCAATACTTGAAAAATAAATTATTTCACTAGAGAAATATTATTGAACTCTCAATTTAAGTTCGAATTACAATTAATTTGTTTCCCTATTTATTGCTCGATTTACATCCTCGTATTTAAGATTTAATGTTCATTGATCAATTAAATTACTAACAATAAAATTAATCAACTTTATGAATCCAAAACTAGTACGACTCAGTTCTTTATTATTACGTCGGAAATTAATCCGTCGACCAGGCCTGACATAATGATCCTTCTTGAGCTCATTTTGGGGACGTCATCAACTCGAGATTTTTTTAGATACGGTGACCGTTAACAATATTGACGGCACATCATGAAGCCGACATTACTTACCAAAATATCGAGTATGCCGACCTACCAGAATGAGTCTCACCCATGATAAATCAAATAATTAAGTGTCAACTACATATGTCCATAAATTGTCTTACGGGTTATGAATACGCACCAAATACTAAGGTCCAGATTATATACTTGATCAGTATAAAATAATTTTATCCTCTTGCAGGTCTCTTCAATACATCTAGGATGTCCTAGTATAATCTATTAGTCTAATTCCAAGATTCACACTACAGTCTTTCACGACAAGAAATTCAGTTCATGTCTAGACTGTGAACCATTATTTATATTTTACAAAGAACTGATAATATGATCTTACTGTTCCAAACGCGGAACCATATTATCTACAATATAAAATAAAGGAACAATGTTTGAATAAATAAATTAAACTACAAACATTCACTTGACTAAAAATACAATCTCGTTCAAAATGGAATTGTTGAGTAACAAAAAGCCGAGCTTTTCAGTATACTCCAACAATCTCCCACTTATACTTTAAAACTTTCGGCTTTTCATAGCATACACTCTTTCAATATTTATTCTCAAATAGTTATTGTCCTCACTGCCATACATCTGACTTTCAATCCCTTAACATTGTCATCTTCTGCTTTCGCTAGAAAGTCAATTCTAAAAAGATCTATTTGGTTGTCTACTGACGTAACTAGGCGACAAACATCCACCCGTTTGCGATTATTCGCAATGGGTCGTACTTGTTCTATGCACTTACTTGCCTTATGAACTTGTGAGTCCTCTTTGTTTTCAAATACACCAACTGTCATCATAATCAAATTGTGAGCTGACTTGGGCAAACGAGGATGTCACACCTAGTCCAATAGAGGTTCCCGGAGTCAAACCTTCAAACTATTGGCCCCACTTCACAAGTAAACACAAATTCCGAGGTGGATTTTACTTATTGTTCACGTCTGATTAGAAATCAAAATCTTTTGTAATCCATAGGTTGCATATGGTTTCTTTGGTAACTCTACATATTATCCTTAGCCCAGTTACCGCCGCTTGATCATATCTTCTACCATTAACCAATTGCGCCCTTCTAGGATTACTTCGATGTCTATTAACAGTTCCCGTGGAAATAATAGATATCATGCCTCATTTACTGCATTGCATATACTAGGCTTCCTATTGCCATGCATAAGGGACTGCCTCAGTGTCATGCATGTTATGAATGAGTCTTATGACAGTTCCTGGAGGCGAAGCTCGAGATAATCGTAACATTTCTTTCTCGTGATCATTGACCTCAAGAACATGTATCGATTCTTCTCAAATTTAGAAATTTTTAAAATAATTTAAAATTTGAAATTTTAAACGAAGATAAGTATAGATTTTATGTCCTTCTTCATAAGGGATTAGTTAAAAAATAATTAAAGTAACTATTTTTTTATTTCCTCTGTATCGATTTTGGGAACATAGATTTTTTTTTTTATAATGTTTTAAACTTGATTCAATATCATTTTTTTTGTAAAAAAATATTGTTTTATTTTTTTGAGATAGTGCTTCAAATTTGAGTTCAATATCGTTAGTTACAAATTTCCAAATACGTAACTTGTGAGTCTTCACTTTTATTATGCTTCCTAAATTCTTTTTATAATTTTGTAATGTTTATACCATCTTGCCATTTCTCTTTTACTTTTTTCTCCTTTTTTCCCTTTCAACTTCTTAATATATTGAAAATCCTTTATCAAGTTTTGAAAAACTTGACCGTCTTTATTTAAGTTATGTAATTACGTTCATCAATTAATAAAATTATTAGTTTATTTATTTCTTAAAAAATCTAAAGTTTGAACTATTAAAGTTTAAAATGCACATTGTTTGGACAAATGTAGTAAAATCTTTATAGCTTAAAAATAAATGGAACATTTTCTTAATAAATTAATTTATTTCATTGAATCACACGATTTATATACCATACTGAAAATATTATGCTTAGATTTTTTTTAATACTGAAACATATACCAACGCATCTATGAATGCATTTATATTATATCTATTAATATAAAATGAGACTAAAGATTTACATTAAATAGTGAGAAAAAATCCAGCCTAAAATATTTATTTTACTAAATATAGGAATTCCAGAATATCATTAATTTTGTCAGCTTTAAAACCTGATAAATAAATTTTAAAAATAATTCTAAATTCAGAATTTTATAATAATTGATAATAATTATAAATTTGAAATAATAAAATTTGCAGCACGTCTGTGAGTATCTATTTAGAAATGAAATACTAAATATAATGTGCACCATATACTTCAATTTATATGTCATTTTTTTTAAAAAAAATAAATCACAAGATATCCACGTAAATCAATGTGAAGTTTTTTTGAAATACGGTAATTATTGAGTTGTCCATATTACATGTCGACCCAATTTTTTTTATTGGAAAATTGCTACATAATAATTGTTAATTTGCTCCTTCTATGAACGTGTGTCATATATTTATGTTCAATGTGCACTGATTTTGATTTTGATTAATCTGTACAAATTTTATCATTCGGTGATATTACATAATAGAATATGTGTATATAATTTTTTAAGTGAAAATTGAGATAAAGAAGAATAAGTAATAGTTTTTGAAATATTTTCTCAAAATATGTACGATATTTATTAATCTATTATCTAACAAATTTATAAAACAGGTGCAGACAATCACTCGTTTTTTGAGATACATTAACTTTTTAAATTAATCTAAATTTAGTATTCTTAAGAGGTGATTAAAAAAATTGAATTATAAAATCTCTTTTATATATTTTTTTTATTAATTTGATCTAATTGATAAAGTAAATGATATCTTTAAAATTTAAGGCAATTAATAAATAGATAAATGAATGAAAAATTTAAATTAGGAAATACCTTTAAATTTGCGTGTGATCACAAAAAGTATACATATCAATATTTTTTATGTATATCTTGAGAGGATAAGTACAAAATTACCTTAAAATCAGTATTAAAATGTTAATATGTTCATTTAGTCTAATATTTAATTTTTAAAAATAACTTAATATGATCGTTTAGTCTCATATTTAATTTTAAAAGATATCCTTAATATGTTTGTTTAGTTTAATACTTAACTTTAGAAAATAAATTCAATATTACTTTTATGTGCATTGCGGGATATGCACGACTTACTAGCCAAATGGACTAGAATAAATCCAATTTTCATTAACAAATTAAATGCTAGAGAGATGGATAGATACAATATGAGAATAGAAAAACAAAAATGACAAAAAATAACTGTTAAAAAAAAAAAACTTCAAAACTCACGTAAGAGAGAGATGCCTTTCTCCCCCATAAAACCACATAATTCTTTACCTTTGCGTTTTTTCATTGTTCTTTTGTTTTGTCGTAGACACTCGCTGTGGAGAAAATAAACGAGAGAAAATTGAGAACAGAGAGAAAATCAAGAACTTTATGTACAAAATCAAGAACTGTATGCACGCTGATAGTTCAATTTTCAGCTGGTAGGATTAGATCTGTTACTCCCTTTCTTCCCTAAGACTTCTCAAGTTAGTCTTTTTCTATTCCATGAATGCATATTGTTTTTATATTATTTTCCTGGCTTCTGTTTACGTGAAGTTGACGTGTTTCGCAGAGGGGATGAAGCGTTTACGAGATGATGTGTATGCGAACCCTCAATTTAAACGGCCATTTGCTCCGGCGTCTCGCGGCGAATCGTATGTCCTGTTTTTTCTTTTCTTTTTTAATTTCTTCTCTATTTGCATCGTGAATAGCTGAATCTCAGCGATATACTTCTATTTGTTTTTTTTTTTTCTCCTCCTTATTTTTTGAGGTAGCGTGGTTTAGTGAATGGTTTTAATGTGATATCGGTGTAACTTAGAACTGGATTCAATTATAATTTTCTCGATCGAGAATTGTTTTCCACAGCGATTATTTTCTTTTGCCTGGAGTCAAATTGGGTGTCCATCTTAGTTACTGTTTTGAATATTTCAGCAGAGAGGACAGGAAATTAGGTTAAAATTAACATGCTAATTATAATTTCTGAGATTGCTGTAAGAAGTATTTGAACGAAAACTTCAATCTTTAATGTTAGTGGTGCTTCGCTCTATCTCTCTCTCTCTCTCTCACACACACACACACACACTGTGGTGTATGTTCCTGGTGTGTATGTACATGTTTTAGTGATGATTTATTTTGGTTGCATACTGGAGGCTATCTATAATTAACCCTGTTTGGTAGTACTCATTACAATCGAATGAACTTTGCAATAAACCCTAAAAGGATTGGCCTTTATTGGTAAATAAGCGGTAAGCAAATCTGTAAATGTGATTATCGCCAAGAGGAACAATAATATATATACTGAAGGACAAAGAAAGAAACTAAACTAAAATTCTGTACTTGCATTGCACTGTTGTTGTCTTAGCCGCTGATTTACATATATGTTAATGGTGACTCCTCCATGTGAGTTTGGGATTGCTCTGTGGTAGATATAGATCTTAAAATCGAGTCTTCATCTTTTTTCCTTTTATGTTTTCAGAAATGCACCTCCAAATCCTCCTATGGGCAGCAGTGGCGGAGGCACAGTGAATGGTGTCATTGGTAATGGAGGTGGTGGTACAAGTGTTGCAGCTGCTGGTACTCAAAAACTTACCACTAATGATGCCCTGACGTACTTGAAAGAGGTTAAGGATATGTTTCAAGATCAACGGGAAAAGTATGATAGGTTCCTTGATGTCATGAAAGATTTTAAGGCTCAAAGGTACGTGAAAATGCATGTGTCGGTAGAATGAGTTTGTTATATATGCGTGAGGATTAGGTTGAAGTATTATCAGACTGTTACCCTTCTCATATTTCTCTATATTTATGAATTTTCTTGTTTTGCAGGATTGATACCGCTGGTGTCATAGGTAGAGTGAAAGAGTTGTTTAAAGGGCATCCTAATTTAATTCTTGGATTCAACACCTTCTTACCTAAGGGGTACGAAATTACCCTTACCGAAGAGGATGAGGCTCCACCGAAAAGGACGGTTGAGTTTGAAGAGGCTATTAGTTTTGTCAACAAGATCAAGGTGAGTTTCTATTTATGATGATATATGATGTGATTATCTTAGGGTTTATTGAAAAAGTAGCCTTAAAGTTCAGTCTATCGCAAAAAGGGAAAAACAGTAAGAAAATCAGTTATCTTCCAATATTAAGGAAACTCCATTAAATGGCTTGACGTGTTTACAATTTGGAAGATTGATTTGCTGTTTTAGTAATTAGACCAAAACTTAATGGTCATTTCAGTAATATTTCCGTTAGTTAATGAGGAGTCCAATAATGTAAGATTTTTTCCTTGTCTTTATAGTAAATATTTTTTCCTACTTGCAGAAACGTTTTCAAAATGATGATCACGTGTATAAATCATTCCTGGACATTCTGAATATGTACCGGAAGGAACACAAGGGCATAACAGAGGTCTACCAAGAGGTCTGCTTGTGATTCATGATCAAACTCCCATTTGATTCAGGCAGTTCCTTGTTAAATATTGGGTCTTAATGTATTCTAATTTGCAGGTTGCGACGCTTTTTGAAGACCATCCAGATCTTCTTGATGAGTTCACTCGATTTTTGCCTGATACCTCAGCTCAAGCAACAGCTGCTCATGCTTCCCTTGGCCGCCACTCATTTCACCGTGCTGATGAAAGAAGTTCGGCCGTGCCTCCTGTAAAGCATTCTCAAGTGGATAAGGTTTCTTTCTGTTACTTTTTATTTTTAGGAATATTTTCGTAACGACCCCTTAACTACAGCTTAATTACAAAAATTGAACTTATCTTTGCGGGCCACCAATGGGCCCTTAAGTAATGTGAGGTTTATTTGCCATATTGAATGATAACCTGGCTTTTCTGTAAATATTCCTAAAATTGGCTTGTCTTTCAAGACACATCAAATGCCCAGGAAGTGTTTGTAATTGAAAATTTATTTTCCTTTTTGGTTAAATAAATAGGCTAAATCAGTTAAACTTTTGGAATAGTTTTTGTAACTAACCATTATTATCTCTGTACATTTATAATTTTGTCGAGTACTGACGAAGTTGCATGGCCCACAAAATTCTTAGCAACGGTCACGAAGGGACAGGGTTGCCGGGCCCAATGGAGAACGAGATCCTAGCGTTGAACGTCATGATGAGGATGATGATAAAACAGTTATGAAGTTGCACAAAGAGCACAAGAAACACACAGAAAGAGAAAATAGAGATAATAGGAGAAGCCATGAAAAGGATGAGAGAGATCATGACAATGATAACAATGGAGATGTCAGCATGCATCGTTCGTCTGAGAAAAGGAAATCTGCTAAGAAAGTTGAGGACTTTGGGGGCAACTCTAGTGTAGCTGCCTATGACGATAAAGAGGAATGGAAGAGTGAGTCAGCCAACATGTCTTGTAGTGGTTGTATAGAAAAGTGTTCATTTGCTTTTTCTTATTGGTTTGTGTCTCGATATTGATGTTCTTAGTAGGAATTTACTATATGGTGACATTTTAATGGTGGTGGCGGTAAGTCTACTGTTAGGCAGTCATACATTTTCAACAGATTTACATACTTCCAACCTGAAATGTCATACTCTAAAAAACATCATAAATAAAGGTATGACATTTCATAGCATAAGTATGCATTTTTGTATAAGAAGTATATGACTGGTCGACTCGCCTAACGGTTAGGCTACCTCACACAAGAATTTGTAATGGTGGAAGATTTAATTCAATGCATCTTAAAACCCTAATCTAATAAAAGGTGAAATTGACCGCCAAGAAAGGAAAAAATGTACACAAAGAAGAAAAAGCCCTATCCCTTTCTTTGCGTCTTTCCTTAGAATTCTTATTATTCTATGTCTTTCTCAATGTTTAATTTGCTCAGGTAAGCTTTTTAAATCTTATTTTGTTAAATCTTTCCAGGTATGTACCGTCAGGAGTTCATCTTCTGTGAAAAAGTTAAAGAGAGGTTGTGCAATGCAGAGGATTACCAGGCATTCTTGAAATGCCTTCACATTTACAGTAAAGAAATCATCACAAGAAAGGAGTTGCAAAGTCTGGTATGATCAATTAGCACACAGGAATTGCTAATTTAATGGTTTTCCATACTTTCAGAAATTATTACCTCCGAACCCCCTTCCAGATCCTAGTTCTTATTTATGCTTCCATTTGCATAGTAATTGTTGTTTTTTTGAAGTAGATTTTATCATCTATAACATGGGTGTTTCTGGGATTAGGATTTTGCATTTTGCTTTAATCAATTTGGTTTATTAATAAGTGATTCTGGGCGGCCTTATGTGTTAATGCATAAAATATGTTGAGGATTTGTTCCTGTATCAAGTTCATGTATTTTATGCTTTCAGGTTTTTGATTTACTTGGAAAATATCCTGATCTTATGGATGGATTTAATGAATTCTTGGAACGCTGTGAGGGGATCGGTAATTCAACATTCTTTGCTTTCGCGTAGCTGTATTTTTCTGTTAAATTCTTAGTTGCCTTTAATCACTTGCCTTTTTTTGCAGATGCATTTCTAGCTGGTGTGATGGGAAAAAGTACGTAATTTTTCCTTTATTGAATTTATTGGCAGGAATTAAATAATTTTGTTTGTGTAAATGATCTTTCGTTTCCTTTTTTATTTTTTCCAATTTGTTGTATACTTTTTTGGCGATTCTTATGTATAATTACCTACTCTGAACCCACCTTATTTAATTGAAATTCATCAAATTCTCATTTTGGGTTTTTGATTTGACAAATTTGTGTCTTTAATATCAGAATCATTATGGAGCGAAGGAAATTCTTCAAAAGCTGCGAGAATAGAGGAAAAGGAGAAAGAACAAAAGCATGAAGTGGAAGGAGGTAAAGAGAAGGAAAGATACAATTTAAAATATTGGGAAAAGTCCATTCAAGAGCTCGACCTTTCCAATTGTCAACGTTGCACTCCCAGTTATAGGCTGCTTCCTAAAGATGTAAGCATTGATGATGGATATTTACAAAACCCCTGGTTACAGCTTGTATGACTTTAAAAAAAAAAAGAAAAAAATTCAACTGATCTTGGTGACTTTTCTGCAGTACCCGATACCTACAGCTAGCCAGAGGTCAGAGCTTGGTGCCCAAGTTCTAAATGATCATTGGGTCTCAGTGACATCGGGAAGTGAAGATTACTCTTTTAAACACATGCGTAGAAACCAGTATGAAGAAAGCTTGTTTAGATGTGAAGACGATAGGTATACAACTTTTTTCAGTTTTGTAATCCTTTTACCGTAGGTGTAGATGGTATGCTTTACTGTAATAGAGTGAATGTGTTTGATCAAAAGATGTTATAAGATGTTTAAAAGCTTAAATTCTCTGAAAGTGTTTGGCTTTTCTCTCTCTTTCTTAACTTACGAGTACCCATAGAAGATCTTAAAATTGTGTATGCTGTTTCTAGGAAAGTTGGATCTCATTTGTTATTTTCCAAAATAAGTTTTTAGTTTGACAACCTCTAATTTTTTTAATCTTAATTACGAAACTACTGTATCTTGCATCTTATAAATGTTAGTTTCTCGTATTATCCAAACTGTAAATGGAATATTTTAAAAATAAGATCGAAATTTTCTTAACTCAGAAAACGACTTATAAGTATTGGAATTTATAAGACTGTCTGAATAAGCTTTGCTGTGTCTTCTTAAGTGTGTTATTTTGTATCATCTTCTATTTACATTTCATTTTATTGTTGTTCTATTATCTGTGTCCTCATATTTCCTAGTCTGGTTTCTATCATATATTGGTCACCAAGGAAAATAACATTGGTTTGTTAGCATAACATATCCATATTTTATGTTTGCTCAAGTTGATTTCTCAGATTTTGCTAATTGAGAAATATTTTTGCATTTTGATTTTGTATTAAGATTTGAGCTAGACATGCTGTTGGAGTCTGTCAGTTCAACTGCCAAGCGGGTAGAGGAACTCTTGAATGGAATCAATAATAATACAATTGGTTCAGATGGTCCAATAAAAGTTGATGAGTATTTCTCAGGTTCGTTATTTTTTAACTATGAAAAAAGTACTTGTGCCAGGAGATACTTGGTTTTTTATTTATTTAAAGTAATGCAATTTCTGTTGTAATGGAGTTCTTTTGCTCTTTTTCTTTTCTTATTATTTTGCCATTCAGCTTTGAACTTAAGATGCATAGAACGCTTATATGGTGACCATGGACTTGATGTGGTGGACATCTTGCGCAAAAATGCATCTCTAGCATTGCCTGTTATTCTAATCCGCCTTAAGCAGAAGCAGGAGGAATGGACTAAGTGTCGGTTGGATTTCAACAAAATCTGGGCTGAAATATATTACAAAAACCATTACAAGTCTCTTGACCACCGAAGTTTCTACTTCAAGCAGCAAGATTCAAAGAACTTGAGTGCGAAAGGTATGTTCGAGTTTGGCACGTGTCCTTTGGCTCTTAAAGGTGTTCACAATGTCCCTTGGGCTACATTTGGTATGACTTATGAACGACGTGGTTTATTTTGTTTGGTAAATCATTAGATGAGAGTTGAATTTGAGCTTTATATGGATATCTGGTTTACTAAAAATCTGCTCTGGCCTCGCACCTTTTGTTATATCACTGAAAAGTCACTTTCTGGAAGACTCTTTTCCTTCAAGCTTGACTTCACTCTTTGAAGTCACTGACCCGCTTTACAGTTCCTGAAACATGCTGGATAAATTGGAAAAATTACCTGATGTTTGGCAGTTGCAGAGAAAACGAATTATTTTACTAGATTAGAATGGCTCCATTAAGATTTGTATTTTCTTAACAAATACTCTACTATTGACGGTGTATTTTTTGAACTTAATACCAGTATCAAGCCGTTATTTGCAATTTTGTTTTTCTATTTTTTCAAATATCAAGCTGAAACTCAAAGGCATTTTGGTGGTCAGACCTACATTGTTTGGTTTCATCAAGTGTATTGAAAATCTCCTTTTTACCATCAATTTCTTGTCCCTTATCATATATCTCATGTAGTGAATCTTCTTTGCCCCATTTTTTAAACCACAATCAAAATTAATATTATCAAAAGTATCATCACTGGCAAATACATACTGTTACGATATCTATGCCGTAGTTGCAGATACGTACAAAGTACCAATGTTATCAATTTTATGTAACTTCTGATTGTCACTTTTTTCTTTTCCATGTTTTCTATGAACAGCCTTAGTGGCAGAGATCAAAGAAATCAAGGATAAAAAGCAGAAAGAGGATGAAGTCCTCCTTAGCATCGCTGCAGGAAATAGGCACACCCTCTTTTCGGACCTCGAATTCGAATATCCAGATGCAGAAATTCATGAAGGTATCTACAAAATAATCAAATACTCTTGTGAGGAGATATGCTCGACTAAAGAGCAACTGAACAAAGTGTTGAGGTTCTGGACGGGTTTTCTTGAGCCGATGCTCGGTGTTCACTCCCGGCCACACGGTCCTCAATCTATTGATGATAACGATGCTTCTAAGCATCGAATGATTAAAAATATGGCAATGGAAAGTGAAGATAGTCCCAGTGCAAAGCCTAACAGCAATGGTGATTGTGGTAAATCACCTCAACGGGCAAGTTTTGGGAGGATCGGAGTTAAAAATGTGGACACTTTAGCTAAAGAAGGGCTTAGTGTGACTTCTGATGCAGGTGGTACTTCACAGTCAGATGCTAATCATGGTAAGTATTTTGGAAGAACAGTGTTTTTTCATATATACTGATAAATACTGTTAGGTTTAGTCAATTACAATTTACAAAAACTTGGTGGTTTTCTTTCACTTTACCAACAATTCCTTGGTAATTGTTTTTTTTTTTGCAAATTATACCTTTAAGTAACCGGTAATTCGCAAAGTGAAGTAAGGCCTGAAGGGAGTATCCGTAAATGATAATTGTTCTTTTAGCAATTAGGTGTTACTTGTGATTGCCTTTACTACTAAATTTCATCATCTGGTTTTGAAAATTGATCCACATATTGGCATTGCTTCTGTTCAAAGGATAAGATGGCCATCTTTGTAGGAATCCCGTTCCCTTTCGGGTTAGCTAAATGTTTTTTTCTGTTGTACTTGTCTTTATAACTGTGCGATTTGTTCTGAATTCAAGGGCATGGTCCAAGCTCTTTGAGTGTGAACAATAGTCACGAGGAAACCAATGGAGTCAAGCCGATGGCTGATGATACACGCTCCACAGTGGTAAGATGGCTTAATGCTATTGGTTATTACACAATTTTACGCGTTAATTGCAAAAACACATTGAATTACAAGAAAACCTCAGCTTATCCAGCAAAATTACTTATACCCCCTTGATATTTATTTCTTGTACACACGTTTTATCTTTTAAAGGATATTGTTAAGCAAATATGAACCTTACTGGACGGTCTGTATTGTGAGCTGTAACACATTTATAAAGTAATGGAATAAAGTTGGGTTTTCTTTGTAATTAAGAAAACCCCCTTTTTTTTTTTTAATTAGGACGAACCTTGAGGTGGTGTGTGTGTGCGCGCGCGCACTTTACTGTATTCTCATTTGATCTTTTGTTCTCTTTCATCCTCGACCTTACTTTCTGCCTAATCTTCTCTGAGAAACAGGTCACGGAGGCATCAACACTGAAGAACGAGAAAGAAGAGGGCGAGCTATCCCCCAACATCGATTTTGACGACAACGGGACAGCTCAGCGCCTCAACAGTTGCCCTGACGCAGACGATGGTGGCAGCGATAACGCGTCTGAGGGTGACGCCTCAGGTAGCGAGTCGGGGGCCGACGAGTGCTCGAGAGACGAGGATGAGGAAGAAGGGGAGCACGACGAGGACAAGGCTGAGAGTGAGGGTGAGGCTGAGAACACGAGCGAGGCTGCCCACTGTGTGGGTCCCGATGGTTGTCCGGCTTCTGGGCCGCAGTCGGAGCGCTTTCTGATGAACTGTAGGCCTCTGTCAAAGAACGTGGATTCGTTTGGAGGTGGTGGCAAGAGAAGGGAGGGACGGGTTTTTTATGGGAATGATGCATTCTACGTTGTTTTTAGGCTGCATCAGGTGAGCTTTTGCAATGTTCTTTTTTATTTTCTTATTCTGCTTATGGTTTGACTTGATTTTTGAAGAAAAATACCAGCTGACTTTGAAGTTTGAAATTACGAAAACCACCTTTGAAGTTTACGTTCATCTTGCGTGTGATTGATGTAAAGGCAAATTACTGACAGTATTTGTTATATTTATAGTTTTGGGAGCGTACAAACAAGGCCGACTTTTCATCTTGGATTTACAATTACATTGCCCATCTTTTTGAAATGTTAGAATATATATAGCTACGTGGAAGATCATGAGTGTATGTAATAACTAGGAAAGTTAGGGGTGGCAACAACCATCCAGGGTGGTTTTTGTAATTGTCAGAGTTGTGTAGGTTCTTCTGTAATCCCCCTTCATCCCTATTCCTTGGTGCTGCTTTATCTATGCAAGATTACAAAGGTGATGCTTGTGCTTTTGTCTAACTGCTACGAAACCCTGCTAAATTTTGAAATTTCAAATACCCTCCTCGAAATATGAATTATATTCCTTTTGTGGATTGTAAATGTTTTACAAATTCAATATGGTATAGTTCATAAATTAGAATTTTGTATTAAGGCTGTATTAGTAACTCTACAGGTGCCAGTTTATTTTTGTCTCTGGGAAATTATGTTAAATCTTAAGTTCATAGTTTATGATTATCATATCCTTTCATCTGCTTCTGTTCTCTCAGAGGTCTGCACTCCTCAGTTTCCTCATGTGCACATAATGTGTGCGTACCTTGAAATTTAAGATGTATCTATGTTTGCTGGCAAATAATCACTTTTATTCTCCATGGTCATAGGCACTGTATGAGAGAATATTGTCAGCTAAGGTGAATTTGGCATCCAGTGAATCCAAATGGAGAATAACAAAGGATGAAAGTTTTGATCCTTATGCCAGGTACTTTACCCGTTTTCTCAAGTTGAATCTCACAAGTAATTTGTTTCTCTGTACTGATTTTGCATTGAGTTCACTGCAGGTTCATGAGTGCACTATTTAGTTTACTCGATGGATCTTCTGACAATTCAAAATTTGAAGATGATTGTCGATCACTCATTGGGAACCAGTCTTACGTTCTATTTACGTTAGATAAGTTGATTTATAAGCTCGTCAAACAGGTATGCTTTTTAGCTTTTATGGATAATTTTAAATGTCATCGTTGGGGCTTAGCCTAATTACAAAGAAATATCCAGTTATCTATATAGGTTATTACAGATACTGCTTAATATTTCTATTTTACCTATTGATACTAATTAGTAACTAAAACACAAGTTTGGGGTAGTGTTTCTAATACCTGAAGATGTCTGTAGTAATTATGTTTCAACTTTTATTTTACAATGTAGAAACTTTTCATGAGTACTCATTATTTGGCCTCTCATTTGATTTTTCTGCAACATAAACTATACCTTTTCTGAGTACTTATTTCATCTGCAGCTCCAAACTGTTTCAAGTGACGAAATGGACTGTAAGCTTCTTCAATTGTATGAATATGAGTATTCTAGGAAGCCGGAAAAGCGTGTGGACTCAGTTTATTATGAAAATGTCCATGTCCTTCTGCACGATGAGAACATATACCGGCTGGAATGTGTATGTTTTACATGAACAAGTTTCTTTCTTTTCCTTTCCTTTTTTTTTTAAAAAAAAAAAAAAAAAAAAAAATTAGGGATGATTGCAAAAGCGAACTTCGAAGGTTTGTGGTATTTAATGAAAAGATGATCTCAGTGAATTTTGAAAATTTACTTAACTACCGTTGAGGTTTGATTCCGCTAAGATTCTGTTCATTCGCTTGTTGACCTGATGGAAGATTGCTAATGTCAATTAATATTATTTCAATATTGCACCCCTCAACCTTTAAAATACCACAAATAGTCTCGACCCATATCCAACTCTTTGTAGTAGTTGGGAAAAGTAGGGATATAGAAATATCTGACAGCAACATTTCACGTTTTGTGTGTTTTATTACTTGACGGTAGTTTTTGTAATTGCCCTATTCATTTATTGACCTTTTATCTGTATTATCTATCAATTAATGCTAACTCTTTTTCATGATTTGATACGCAGACATCTTCGCCCACCCGCTTAACGATGCAATTAATCAGTGATGGAAATGACAAGTCTGAAACTGTTACAGTCTCCATAGATCCTAACTTTGCGTCCTATCTCCACAATGATTATCTATCAGTCGATCATAGGAAAAAAGAGTCGTCTAAAATAATGTTGAAGAGGTATTCATATCAATACTCGAAATGCAGTAACTCAGTAGTTCGACATATAGTAATAGAACAGTTGAGCTGAACAGGAATGAAATTGTTTGGAAGTGATTTACAATATTTAGATTATTTTCTTTGGCTGACATGCGCTCATAAACCTTGCAGGAATTTGCGAAAGTATGCTAATGTTGATGAATCTAATGCCCTGTATATGGCTACAGAAAATGCTCTTATAATGAATGGGTTGGAATGCAAGATGTCGGCCTCCACATTGAAGGTACTTCTATATTTTCTTGTTATTCTTTCGCGATTTTTTCGTTTTTGTGCATCCAATTGAAGTTTTCAGAATTTGCTGTGCATATTTTGGAGAAAACTAGAGACAGTTGGGTCTTTTAACAAAAGTAGTAATTTGTTCGTTGATTTTTAATCTTCATCCAAATTTTAGCATTATTTTTTTTGTAAAATTTGATGGGAAATTGGTATTTACGTATTCAATACACTTTTTATGTCAGATGGTCCGCCATAGTATTGTGTTCTTTTTGTCTTTATTCTATTGTCCTGATCACGAAAACATGTATCAGATCTCATATGTCCTAGACACAGAAGACTACTTCTTTCGTTTGGGAAGGAGAAGGGAAAATAGGCCAGCTGGAAAGTTATCGAGCAATGGTCAGCGCAAAGTGCGAAAGTTTCACCAGTTCTTGGCAGCGTGCCCCTTTGACCCAGTCAGGTCCTTGTAGCGGCATGAGGTAAATATTAAATACAATCCCTCTCTTTAATTTTATCTTCATTTCATGAAAGCACTTTATTGTTTAAAGTAATAAAAACCCATTAGATTGGACTATAAGGTGTTCGAAACTCTTCTGAGGAGTTCATTGAGGTTTTAGATTACGTAGCAAAATACTATCCTATGTTACTTCAAATTCGGACTATAACTGTTTCTTATCTTGGCTAATAAAAAAATCAGGGCTAGATCTTATATGTGTGGCTACTGTATATTTTTGTTCTGGTCTTACTCTGAATAAAGTGTTGATATCAAAACCTTCATCTCAGTTTTTGTTTTTGTTTTTTTTTTTCCAGAAATTTCATTTTTTTTTTCTTTGGCAGCCATTGCTTCGCACTTGGTCCGTGAAAGAATTGGTCTGGCAAGTTTTGATTACTTCAAAAAGAATCTGATAACCCAATAATAATATGGGACTTTGAGTTCGAACTCATTGTGATGTGGCATTGAAAGTCGATGTGCTGCCCCCGGTAATGATTTGTACATATGAAAAGACAGAAAAAAAAGGAAAAAGAAGAAGAAAAGGTTTGACGCGCAATGCTAATTGTCCGAGTCGTGTGTTGCTTTCACTGTCGAAAGCGTCATGAAGCCCTCTTTCTTGTTTCCTTATCTACAGGTTTCTTGTAAGTCTCTGGCAGACATTCTCTGCTGGATACTGTAAGATTAGGTAATTAGAGCAACAGTGAGATTCTTCTTTGGACCTGTTTTTTGTTCCTTTTCGTTGAAATGTGTATAGATTTATCTTCTCCACATTTGGAACATGCAGACCTTTTGTACGTATTGAGCTACATATGTTCAGTAAGCTGTCTTGTTTTGCATTCTTGTTATGCAATAATATTTAAATTGAGTATGTGAGACTCATTTCTAGCCAATAAATATGTATGAAGATGTGTGGTCAATATTTAATCATTTATTTAATTTTTATTTTAATTATCGAAATATTACTTAGACTGGTTGACCATGACCATTGATTGTTGACTCCGGCGTTGATCGTTGACTTTCGGTGAGACCCGTTGACTTTTGACGTTTACTCTGGCATTGATCATTGATCGTAGTATTCATTATGTATGAAGTAAATATGTATTTAACAGTATGCACTTGATATGAATTAAATATGCATTTCATATGAATTGAATATACAACCTTTATGAACTAAATATGCATAAATAATATTAACCAGTATGCACTGTTTATAATATAAATATGAACTGTGTATGAACTAAATATGCAGCGAAAATATACAACTAAAAGTGCATTTTATATAATATAACAATAATAAAAAAAATATTCTATAATTAATGTAAATATTAATTGATTAATACGAGTCATTGATATACACAAATAAATGGCAATGAATGGACCTCAGATGAACTTAATATGCACTTTGATGATTCTAAATATGCATTTCGTATTAAATAAATATGCATAATGAATGAACTAAATATGGATTATGTGTATAATTAATACAAATACACTAAATATGCATTATGAAGAACTATATATGAATTTCTTATTACCCAAATATGCATAATGAATTAACTAAATATACATTATGCATATATTTAATTTAAACAGACATAGTGTTAGTAGATGAGATGGGAGATGGGGCAATGCTAATTTAGAAACATGGAGAGAGGCGCTTGAATCTAAGGGTTTCAAAATAAGTAGCGCCAAAACGAAGTATATGGAGTGTAGTTTTAGTAATCAATCAAGATGAAACAAGTGGAGGAGCGCGTCGTCGTTACTTTGTGATCGTAAAGTACCAGTGAGTTTGAAAGATAAGTTCTATCTAACGACCATTCAACAGTCGATGTTTTATGGATCCAAGTGTTGGACTATTAAATATGAAAATGATTAAATAATGAGAGTGAGAGGGAAGGGAATGTTGAGATTGACATGCAGGATCTTGGTACTTGGATTGTGGGTGCTCGCGTCACATGACCGGCATTCGCGAGTTTCTGTCGAACATAGAATCCTATGAAGATGGGCGTGTTAAAGTCATAGGACGGGGAAAAATCATAGGACGAGTTTCTGTCGAACATAGAATCCTATGAAGATGAGCGAGTTTCTGTCGAACATAGAATCCTATGAAGATGACCATCAACATTGAGTGTTCTAATTTAAGGAAATCCCTCAATTTTTGTGTTTTTTAAATTAGAATAGAAGTCTTGTTGCAACATTCACGTTGCATCATCGTTGCAACACGAGTTTTTGCATACATGCGTTTTTATTTCTTTTTCATTCATAATCGCATTTTTTATTGCATAAACAGTATATTTGTTGGAGACATGAAACTGTGATGGTGCATTTTTCACTTAATAAATGGATTGTGGGTCGATACTCCAAAAATTTTAGCCCTTAACGAGTAAAAAAAAAAAAAAATGCACGTTGGAGACTTTGAAGGGAAAGAGCTACTTACTCTATAAGAGTGCAACTAGTCCTTGTGATTGAATTCTTCTATAATTAAAAATATGTTGAACGGCGGAATGATCAAGTAGAAAGAAGACTACCTTTACTTTAGTGTGAAAGCTGCCCCATAGTTGTTATTCCCATTGTGTTAAACTAATAAAATATTTACTTAGAGTAGGATGATGAACTGTGATTCTTTCAATCCATGTAAAACTGTTGAATGAGTCATTATTTCTTTCGTGCTAACTTTGTCTATGTCGTTCACATTTATATTATTTTTATAATTTTTAGACATTTTTATTAGGCATAATTAGGGCATTCATACTTAGTGAATGTAAAAACTATGATGTTGTTTCTTTATGTGATGTGTAACTTATGGAACTATCTTTTATGCCTTCGGATGAGTAGTGCTTTTTGTGGAGTGAGTTCGCAAGTTTGAAAAACTTGGGTGACTATGAAATTGACGTGCATTATAATTATGAAGTCTACATTTACGGCTTTGATATTGATGTGTTGATATAATTCCTATTGATTTTAGTTTGTCGGTCATGAGTCTATGTGCGGTTGCATCTCCTTAGTCCGTCTTTAACTTTTTTATTTTTTTTCGGCATCAAATTATTTTTGCTTGTTGGTGTTTCTTATATTAAGTCGTTCCTACACCATGAAAAATTTTGTTGCTGTTTTTTGATGTATTTGGTCCAGATTTTTTTCCATTTCATCCCAAAAAAAAAAGAAATAAAGTAATTGTGAAATAAATAAACAAAGTTTTTTTGTTTCCTGGTGCGTTTCTCTCTCTATTTTCACCTTATTTCTCTGACATTTTTCTAGCCTGTATTCTCTCATTCTTTCAAGCTGCACAAGTTCTCTCCCAATTTTTTTTGTTTTTAAAAAAAGCTTCTAGGGTTCCTAATTGAAGGAGATGAAGGAAATCTCGCCAGACCCAAAATTGTCCCAATTTTCAGATGGCGCCACACAAACCGACGAGGAAGATGAAGTCATTGATTTCTTCTTTGCTGCCGTTCACGAATCTCGCCGGGTCCCTTTCTCGGTGGCTGCGGAGAAACACTGTCAGCAGCTGCATTTGCCTTTCAAAACCGCCGCAACCATTCATGAGCATTGACTGATACCAGCGACTGATGAGCCCGGCGGTCCTCCTCTCTTCTCCCGCGCCAGAGTTTGTCTTCTTTTTTTTTTTTCCCCAATCAACAAAGAAAATTCATTAACTCAATACAACAGTACATAGGCTAACCAAATGGTTAAAACATCACTGGCCCCTTACAACACATAAATGAGGGTTCTCCCAGTTGGCCCAATTTATTCGTTCTAGGATTTGCTGCCGCCAAGGTCGAAATAACAATAGATGAAAGTACTCGATTTTAGGAATTCGTACCTCGGAACAAAAAAATTAAAAATAAACGATCACATTGCACTTCGAAATGCACTAATTAATCATTTGTCATAAGAATTTACCAATTTCGAGATTTGAAAGACTGTATATTACTTACGAATAATTATTTTATGTTCATTCTAATGTATTTCATCTTGTGCATTGTAATTTTTAATTTTTAACAAATAATTTATTTATTCAATTTTATTATGTATATGAATTATAACATAAATTCTAAATCAAATTTTAAGTCTTCGCCAACAGCATTAACCATATTCTAATTTTTCAATCTTCGCCAACCGGCTATGGCGCAACAGCGAGCAGCCAAGTTGGAAAATCCAAAGCTTTGACCCGCCATATATAATATAATACAATATACGCACATCTGATCTATCCGCATTCCACACACTTCATTCTTGTTTCCTTTTAATCCTCTTTCACAGCTGTAAATAGTGAATAGCAATGGGATTGTTCACCTACACGGTGGCCGGCGCCGCCGTAACTGCAATCGGCGCGTGGGAGTCACTCTACCCCGCCCCCGATTCCCCAGGCCCAACCCCTTCGCCGTCGTCCCCATCGCCAACCTCTACGCCGCCGCAAAATGTCAAAAAAATCGCGACGACGGCGTCGTTCTCGTCGACGGTGATACTCTTATCGATCTCGGTTCTCTCCGTCCTCTTCATCCTGAACTCGTTAATCTCCCTACACGATGCCGTGGGGTCCCGCGACACCGTCGGCTTCGCCCTCCAGCTCCAGGTAATCGCGGTCGCGTCGCTCTTTCTCCTCTACTCCGTGTTGGGCGTTCTCGTCTCCATCTCGGACTCCTTCCGATTCCCTCTCCAATTACTCAACCTGATCTACGCGTTCGCATTCGGCGAGGAGTTTCTGTTGTTCTACACGCAGAACAAGGATCCAAGCGGGATCGAGAACCGCTACTACGACCTCATCCTGGTCCCCGTATCCATATGCCTCTTTTCCACTCTCCTTGAGCTCAAAAACCCTAATTCCACTTACCCGAGGCTGGCCCGCGGGCTTGGAATGGCCCTACAGGGCGTGTGGACTCTGCAGATGGGCTTCTCCTTTTACTCCAATTTGATGGCCAATGGATGTTCCTTGCACCAGAGGAGCAGGGGCAATTTTACCATCAAGTGCAAGGGGCACCCTGAGTACCATCGTGGGCGTGCAATTGCCACATTGCAGTTCAACTGTTATTTGGCTCTATTTGTGACGTTGGCTGTAGGTTTGTACTCTGTGCTTTATAAGAAGTACGGTGCTGGGCAGGATTTTATGCCGTATAAGCCACTTGGGGTTCAGATGGACGGGCAATCTCAGTTCACTTTGGATAGTGATGATGAGGACGATCAGGATGTGGTGAAGGATCATAGGAGTTTGGAGATGCAGAGTGCGATTCACGAGCCAACGGTTAATGGTTATGGTTCACATGTCTGAGGTAATTAGAGAATAATGTTTTGGTGTGCTGTAGAATTTGGTTCTTGCTTTTAACATGTAGTAGTGAAGAATGTTTGCTATCTCTTTCTTGCGTTTGAATTGTTACTAACCATTTTGGATGGGGGTGGTGTTTTCAATGTTCTTTTAAGCTTTCATAGGTCGGTGAATTTCAAATTGTTGTATTGATAGAGCTTAGGTTTCTCTATCACCTGTCGAAAGTTGTACGCTTTCGGCACGGTGAAGCTGCAATATGGTAATCTGGCATTTGGTTGTGAGATAATGCAATGTAGAAACCGACATACAAACAAATGAGTTTGGTTGCTGTGTTGAATTATATGGAAGTAATTCATTGACTTTTGCATATTGACTGATGGTCTTTTATTGTTTTGTTATGATGGTAATCATATATTAACACTATATATAATACCTAGGTGGAATATAAGGTATGAAACAGAGCGACCATTTAGATGACTGACAAGATTGTGGGAAAAAGATAGGTTTGTGATGATATGTAAATATATACTTGGTGTTCTTTCCTCATATTTATATCTCGATCACATAAAAAACACATCATATATGTTCTCTAATTTCTGTAGATATGGAAAGATGTGAAAATATATTAGCAGATTATCTATCGTACCTTCCACGATTAAACACAAACTTTTGCTAGATTCGCTGCTGATTCTTGGCTATGGTGAAATGAAAATTCACCTGAAAGAATTAGGTTTTCCTTCACAATCCTAGCTGTTAAATTGGCACAAACCGCACAACTTTGCTTCTTTGTTATTTTCAAGTACACAAGAGTTTTAAGACCTATACATTGGTGTGCATTTCTGTGGTTATTCCATTCTAAGTACACTAATCTATTCACTTGCCTTATTGATTTCCAACTTTCTTGTTTATCTATGTGCTTATCATGCTCAAGCAAATTTTCTTGGATTACACTGTTGATTGAGCTTATGAGTCAGGGCTGTTACTGAAGTACAGCTGCTAACTACACAGCAGGCAGTTAAGGTACGGTTGGTTATCTTTCTATGTTGATTCGTTTTTTTCTTAACTGCTCGATAACATGAGTATAAAGAATGATACTGAAAGGTGTTTTAATCTAGACTGTGATTTGGTATGAGATGTAAATGTGACGGTGAAACTGGATCCTGCATTTTTATAGAACAGTAATAACCAAATGTCTGGTGAACGTGCACTGAAATTGGTGACAAAAATTTTCATACATGAGTGGATGAATACGATTTGTGGGAGAGAAATGAAAAACAATTAAAAATGCATCTTTTTAGAAAATTTGTTTCTTGATTCGTTAGCATTATTAGGATGAAAAATTTGGATAACCGGTAGATCCTGTATCACTTTAGTTGTGCTATCTGTTCACGTTGATCATTGATGCTTGTTGGTAGCTAGTCCAACAGTGTGTGGTTGTTATGTCAACTTGTTCAGCCAAGCTAGTGCTGAAAAAATATCGATTGGTATATTGTGAACTACAATTTATCTTGGCCTACGTTATTACACATCACATTAAAATGGATCTTTACTGGTACATCACATTAATGTTGATGTGATTTATAAGTATGAAATATGCTATTAGAAGTGGTAGGTAGTTAAATTATGTATGTAGATCTATATTGAATTAAAGTTGATGTAATGTATAAGAATGATTAATTGATATTATTTAATTATATTGATAATATTGAAGAGACTTATGTTGACTTGGATTTTGAGTTCGAAGATCGGAAATAAAGTAACTCAATCGGTCAAAACCGATTTTGTTTCATATCCAAACGCACACTAAATATCTACATATTGTATGTACTAATATCGATAAATCATAAAATGAAACTCTTAAATAAAACGTGCTCTCATATATCAAGTTTGAAGTTGCATATCCATTCCAGATATCGTTAAAACATAAAGGCTTTGTTTGGTTCAACTTTCAAGTGAGGGGAGGGGAGGGGAGGGGAGGGGAGGTGAGGTGAGGTGAGGTGAGGTGAGGTGATGTAAGATAATTTACCTTGTTTGGAGGAATTTTGTAGGAGAGGAGTGAAGGGAAAATGGTAAATCTTGTTTGGTTAAGAAAATGGAGGGGAAAAAAATATTGTAGAAATGACGGTACCCTTAATGATGTAATAAACAAAAAATTAAAATAATTCACATATGAAGGACAAAAAAGTAATTTTACAATTTAAAATTTTCCCTCCCTTCTAAATTCCCCCACTTTTGGAGGGGAGCAATATTGGGGGAGGGCAGGGATTTTAGCTTAAAATTTCCCTTCCCCTCCACTCCTAAGTTACAAACCAAACAAAGGAAAAATAAAAAATCCCCTCCCTTCCCCACCAAATCCCTCGAACCAAACACTACCAAAGTGAAAACATTTGATAAAACTAACTTTATCATATATCAAATTTGAAGTTGCACAATATCTCTTTTCTACAACGAAACAAGAAAAAACGTTGCTAAAGTTATAGCGTCTTTTATTTCACATGTGACGATGGGCTGAAGTAAAACAAAGGACTTTCTCTCCCATATATAGTCAATAGCAGAGCTCACAACTAGGGCTACTCCTCAAGTGGATCCTGCGAATAATCCATGTATATTTTATATATTTTCAATATGTTTATATCCTTGTTCGATGGCCAAAATATTTTCCACATTTCGTTTCACGATTTTCTCATGCTCCTTGGCCCTTGGACCAAGCCGATTTTTGTAGTGGGTCTTATTCACTTCTTTGTCAGCCTTAAGGCGTTCCCCTTCAGACTTCAGTCACTGCATTCCCCCAAGCATCATGTAGTTTTCGGTACCACTCGAGGCGGCGACTTCAAAGTTCCGTGCAACCCTCTCTTGACATAGAAACACATGGAAACCATAACAATCACATACATTCACGATTTCACATTACTGAACATATTTAGAAAAGCATGAAGAGAAGAGTGTATGCATATTGTAATACAATTAAGGTTTCAGAATTTTAGTTACATACAGTTGCATACATGAATTTTGGATCATTTACCACTATTGCTGCAACTATATCAAATATCAATCATCATTATTCATCATTGCTGCAACTATATCAAATATCAATTATTATCATTCATCATTGCTGCAAGCGTGCAACTATAATCTATAAAGGGGAGAGAGAAAAAAAAAAAATTGGATCCGTTACAGATGTAGTTGTTATTATCCGGGTATAAAAATTACACGGGAATTCCTTACAAATAATCTAAAATTAGAAAATTACAATTGAACTGAAAAAAAATAAATAAATAAATTACAACTAAAAATAAATTAAAACAGAAAGATTTTAGCCGAGGCGAGTAATACTCTTTCCGCAAGAAGAATACGCCCCGTGTGGCAGCTAACGGTTAAGGCGTAACTTCCCCAAAGATACAACGGCAAACGTCTCTAAATCTGTAGCACACCAGATTTACGAGCTCCAGCGAACTAGAACGGAGTCGAGAATTGAGCACTAAAAGAAAATAAATATATATATATATATATTTTTTTTTTTTTTCTTCTCTCTCTTCTTTTTCTTTTCTTTCCTTCCCTTTCTTTCTTTCCTTTTTCTACCTTGTCCTTTTGATTTCTTTTCTGTATCCTTCCCCTCAGCACTCCAACACCAATTTATAGAGGTGCAATGGATTAATTAAATATGGTAGTTGATGTGAGTGCATAAAAAAAAAATCGAGTGGTTTTGGAAGGTTTAGAAAAAATCAAATACAAATGGATGGTTGTCATATAGTGGTTGGAATATTAGGAAGAATAGGTTGGAATATTAGGAAAAATATTATGTTAAATATTAATTTAACACTCAATCATTACAATCTAAATATTAATTTAACACTCAATCATTACAGTAGTAATATCACTAACACGTTGAAAATTAAAAAATTTCAGAAGTTCCATGATGCTGCAACTTAATTAGGTTATTTTATAGAGAGAAAACCTGAATGCTAAAAACACCAATATAAAAAAATTAGGGCAAACAACAATATAACAAACACCAATATAAAAAATTGTACAATGTTGGAAGGTGATGACAATTCAATACCAGGAAAAGGGAAACGAATTTCAGTACTTGAACTGAATTCCACGAATTTCAATATCTGAATTTGTGATGCTGCCGGTGCCGGAGATAGTTCCACTTTCCGCCGTATACCAGAGAGAATTCCAGTGCCTGTCCCGATGTCGATTTTAATAACCGAGGGCTTGAGGCGATGGGCAATGCAAAACCACATAAGAGTGGCTTCNTATTTATTTTTTTATTCCTAATCAGTTCGGTAAAACAGAACCCTTATCGAACCGATAACAAGTTGGTAATTTTATTTTCTCGTCGGTTCAGTTCGATTTGATTTTCGGTAAAAAAAAAAATGCCAACCTACCTACCTATCTTAGTTAAAGAGTACAAAAGTCACAATGCTTTGATGATTCATGAGCTGTACATTATTGCATAATTTGTATTGAACCAAACTAGTTAATTGTGTTGATAATCTCTGACATTAAAATCCAAGCAAACAATTTAATAGATTGACTTAATTGTGTTGATAGCCTTTGAAATATAAGTAACATTGTATCAAGCATACTTCAATGTGAATCAAACGCAGCGTAAGAGTTCACAAACTATAATCCTTTGAAAGAAAGAACAGAAACAAGTAAAAGAAAAAATGTAAATACAAATTGAATAGCTGTAAAAAAATAAATAAATAAATAAAAAGAACTATTGGAAACAGGGCACACTCGGCAACCGGCAAAATTATATGAACATCGAAGGCTGAAGCCGCACATCACGCCCGCAATTGTCGCACATCAATCAACAATTGACCTTCACCAAATTTAGCCAAACCTATCACGTGAGCGCCGGAACCTCCCTTCAATTCAACTGACCGCTGCCCTGCGCCGGGATTGCCGCGTACCGCGTTGAAAAGTCCCAGAAAATCCTGTCGTCCTCGAACTGACCGTTTTGCCCCTCGTCGAAATTCAATGCGTAACTCAGCGGGTCGTAATTGAATTTCCCAGCCTTGGACCGCGCTCCGGCCCGGTTGAACCGGCGGATGAAAGTTTTCCACTTGGGGCCCGCCACCAGCTCCGACCACTCCCTCACCTTCTTCAGCGCGTCGATTCCCCTCCCCCACCAACTCCGGCGGATTTTCTCAGGCATGTCCGCCTCCGACACCGAGATCCGCTCCCAGTTCTCTCTCCTCCGCGAGATCGAGCACGGAAAATTCCACAAGTAGCAGCATCCGCGACTGAAGAACGCGGATTCATGGAAATCGTCGCACGGATCCTCTCCTCTCCGCTGGTTCTCCGGCGCAGCGGCCCACGGTTGCGTCGCCGCCATGTCCGGAGATCGATTACGTATGTCCTATTGGGATAATAAAAAGGAGAGAAGAACAATCAAAAACGACGGCGCAGAAGGAAGAAGATTCACCCTCTGCAAACCCTAGCGCGGCACACAAACACACTCGATCTCGGTCTCATATAATCGGCAAATTTGGGGAAAGAGACGATGGGAAACCGGAAGGACCGGTAAACTGAGGTGGTGCATTTGTAACTGCTAATAATTAGTTTATAATTGGGTGTGTGACACGCTGGAGGCCAACAAATGATTAACGGTCTTATTAGTTGCGTCTCTTTAATTGAGAGCAGCACCAGCACCAGCACCATTGGTGATGAGGTATGCCGTATGTCGGTATGTGATTATAAGCCGACCTTTTTCGATTGAATAAAAATTTCAGACAATTGCATTACAATTTATGCGATTCTGTTCTATTTCTAACAAATACATATAGTATACAAATATCATAGAGATCGATCATGTGAGAATAGTATTTAATTAAAGAAATAAATTTGTACCATATCAATTGACGATTTTGCTATGGAACTATCGTATGATTCATGCTAAAATTAGGGAAAATACATAGAGTAGAGAAGAGAAAGATGTGTATTTTTCATTCATTGTAATAGTGAGATTACATCCAATATATATAGAGGTTTCAAAAGATAAAAAACGAATCAAAATCAAATCAAATCAAGATCAAATCAAATATCTAATTACTAAAATAATTACTACCAAATCAAGATCATATCATATCAAACCAAAGATATCTTAGCAAAATAACTAAAGCATATCATAACACCCCACTCAAGTTGGTGCATGAAGATTTCGAATGCCCAACTTACTTAAAAATTCCGAGAAATCCTGGCCACCCAATGCTTTGGTGAAGATGTTTGCTTTTTGAGCTTTGGTACAAACACAATCAGGAGAGATAAGAGGACCGAAGGATTGAAGGACTGAAGGACATAGGACCAAAGGTACGAGGACCAAAGGACTTGACAATTGTATTTGATATCCAAAGGATCGAAGGACTGAAGGACAGATCGCGCTACAAGAAATTGTCAAAATGCCAACAAAAATTACCAACAAAAATTTTTTCGTCGGGGATTACCAACGGATCACTAACGGATTAACAATGCATTATATATACAATTTTTATAAACGGATTCCCGACAGAATACTAACAAAATATAGCAACGAAAATTATATCTTTGTAATCCGTTGGCAAATAGTGACGGAAATATTCCGTTAGTTAATACAAACAAAATACCAATAGAATAGCAACAAGCTCTTTCAAAATTGTATTAGCAACGGATGTTTCGTTGGTAAATAGCAAAAAAAAAATTTCGTTAGCAAATAGCAACGGAATAGCAACAAGCACCTTCAATATTGTATTAGCAATGGATTATTCCGTTGGTAAATAGCAACAGATTTTTTCCATTGGAAAATAGCAACGAAATAGCAACGGACACCTTCAATATTGTATTAGCAACGAATTATTACGTTGGTAAATAGCAACGGTTTTTTTCCGTTAGCCAAAAGCAACAAAATAGCAACAAACTCTTTCAAAATTGTAATAGCAACGGACTATTCCATTGGTAAATAGTGACGGATTTTTTTCGTTGGCAAATAGCAATGGAATAGCAACGAACATCTTCAATATTGTATTAGCAACGGATTATTCCGTTGGTAAATAGCAATGGATTTTTTTTGTTGGCAAATAACAACGAAATAGCAACAAACTCTTTCAAAATTATAATAGCAACGGCCTATCTGTTGGTAAATAGCAACGGAATTTTTTCGTTGGCAAATAGCAACGGAATAGCAACAAATACATTCAATATTGTATTATTAGCAACGGATTATTCCGTTGGTAAATAGCAACGGAGTAGCAACAAATTCTTTCAAAATCGTATATGGCCATTATTATTACTATTATTATTGTTTATAACACTTACCAAAGTAAAATTCTTTTTATATATATAATGATAAATATTTAATTTACATTAATATCATTTAGTTATGTAATTAATTTAAAAATATTTAAATAAATTCAAAATAAATATTGTGCCATATATGCATTCCATTCATTTTTAGATTTTGTTATATATCATAATAATTAAAAAAATCATATATATATATATATATATATATAGAAGTAGGTTCAAATGAGAATGGTTCATAATGTAAGAAATGAGAATAAATCTACACCCTAGATTAGGTTAAATTGACAGTCAAGATTAATTCAAACGCTATTGACCGCGTAGATATTAACGGTGGCATACGCGTAAATAGTCAACATATTTGTGGTCAGTAATATACCTCAAAGGACATTAATGTATTTTTTCAAGTTTTAGGAGAGGGCTTATCGCGTGGTGTCTAATTCCAGAGCCATTAACTGCTGCGCAATTCTCAAGGTGATTGCTCTGTGGACGAGATCTTCGGTGGCGAGTTGTGTTCTCCTCTAAATTCAAAATTGGTGAGCCATTTTTCTTCTAAAATTTATATTCGAGATATATATTACATGTTCTCTGTTATGTTTATGAGATTTTGGTTGAAAAAATCGTTGGTTTTCATATTGCACAGGGTCGATTGTTTCGCCGATTACGAATGGGTGATTCCCCTCAATCGACGAAATCGGGTAATATTATCTCCGACTATTTAGCATTTACATAGTTTTGTAGTAATACATCGTGTGTTTCATACTTTTAATATAAGAAAAAAAAAAAATGGGTTAGTCAGATACTGGTATTTAGGGGAAACTTTTAGAAAATATGTGGTGTTTTATGCTTTCTGTTTCGTAATTATAATAGTAAGTCAGATTTCTTAGTTTGTACATAATGTTTGATAATGTGTTAGCGTCCCGACTTCGTATGAGCTTGGCATTATTACAGCAAAGCGGCACATCGACGTATGTTGAAAACGAGCAACCAGGTAACGACATGCTTGTGTGTAGTGCGGTTTATGTATCTGTGATGTTCACTTTATACACATAGACGTGCTTTTTCTTATGTTACTGAGTTTTCCAATTATAATGGTACTGTTCTTAGTTCTGATTCTAACTTGTTTGTTTTGTGTTATATGTGTTGGATATGTATTCACAAATAACATATATTCACGTGCTTCATGTGGGGCCTCAGCTTATTCACATCTGATATTCACACAGACATATATAGTCAAGCTATTGTCAGATAATAAATTTATGTGTTCATGTGTTTTTTCATATATACCTGATAACTAATTTTATGTTATGTAGATGCACTTTGTAAGATGCATCTGGACGAACTTAAACGTGGTGCTGCCCGTGTGAAGCGTACGAAAGTTGGTTCATGCAAAGTGAGTCAACCTGATAGTGACGATTTCGTCGTTGATGCGCCTAAGCACGGTCTCGAGAGAATTACTAATGCTAAGCGTGGTATATGTAATTAATCGCACTATAGTATATATATAAATTTATTTGAATGTGTTATTTGACTAACTTATCAATTGTTTTTAATTTTCAGTCAAGGGTAGAAATGAACTGTCCGAGAATGACACTGTAGACAAATATATAGACAACTATGTTGCGGATGATGCTGGGGTTGATTCCGATGCGGACAGCGACAAGGATGACGTGTTTCTGAGCGTAAACACAAGATCGTCATCATCGATTTTCGTGAAGGCAATTTCTGACATGTCAGATGTGAAGAAGCAGGCTGTACGGGAAATGGGACTGGGGTGTTTATTGGAGTTGGGCATAACATCGACCCCGTCAAAAATGGGGTACTGGTTAGTAGACACCTTCAACCACATGGACCGTAAGCTGCAATTATACGATGGTGAGAAGGTTCACGTCAAGGAAGATGACGTGTATGTTGCATTCGGGCTACCTCGCGGGGAGATTGAGATCAAAAATAAGAAAAAGAGAGTTGCATCGAGTTTGCTGGATGAATGGATTGGATTATTCAATGTTAGAAGGCCATCGAATATTACAGCATCGAAGGTCTTGGACAAGATTAAGGAGTGTGTGGACGCCGACGATTGGTTCAAGCGCCACTTTATTGTCCTTATGGTCTCGTGCTTGTTCGAGAGTTGTCCAAACGGAATGGCAAACTTCCGTTTAGTACATATGCTCGACGATTTATCAAATGTTGCCAACATGAATTGGTGCGCGTACATGATTCGATGCTTGGTGGATAGCAAGAGATCGTGGGAATTGAATCATAAACAGAAATTCACGGGGCCGTTGTTATTCTTGACGGTCAGTTACTCTACTTCCATTTTTTGGCATATTTTTTCGTGATATTTAGTGACGACGATAACTTATTCATTATTATGTTTTGTTTGTCAGCTATTCTATGTTGACAAAGTAGTCTTGTCCGTGAGGTCGGTTGCAAGAGTGTTCCCGACATTTAAATCGTGGAGCAATGAGTCGCTGAGAGACAGAGAACGCAGTGAGATCGCGTCGGGAGCTTTTGGAAGGGGTTTCGTGGATTCTGACATGTGCGTGAATGTCACTAGCACTCATTCGGACAAAGCTCGACTCACATCTACCAACGAGGTCACCGGTGTAACAGACGAACATACACTACAGGTATGTAATATGATACGTATAAGTTGTCATTCTACATAAATATGGCTGTTTTTTTATCTTTTTTTCCTTTTTTTGTTGAATATGTTATCAATTCTTATTATGTTCTGTTTGTTACACTACAAACATGTTGCCCTTGTTCTTTTTATTTTTGTATTTTATTTTATTTTATTTTTTTGCTAATTGTTTCTTCGATTTATTATTGCTATTATATTGTGCATTAGTTAATGTAAATTCGTGCAATTTCATTGACAGAAATGTGCAATTGTTCGTCTATGTGGTTTTGTTCATTATTAAGTTGATCATGCATAAATTTAGAAAATTGTGTTATTTCTCCCAGTCATTTATTAACAGCTCCTTTTTTAACATACATATTTGTGATTAGTGTTGTAGGCGATGAACGTTTTAAGTTATCAAAATATGTTTTTTTATGAAATATTAAAGAGTATATTAGTGTTCGTTATTAGATATCCAATTCTGGTCGGTCTAAATATTTGTATCTTTTATTTCATAGATATTATTATTCTTTGTTTTTTTTTATTTATATACTGTTATTATTTATATGTTTCATCACTTAATTGGATTTATTTTTTATGATTTATTTGTACTGTTCGTTGTTATATATTGTGCATTCTTGAATGTAAAATCGTGCAACCTGAATATTGTAATTGTGATATTGTCAATTTACAGGCTTATGTTCATGATTTTGCATCTAAAACTCACACTCTCGCTGCAACTGGTGTCGAAATTCTAAAGTTGGTCGAAAAGGCACCACAAGTTCTATTGGGGGATGAGAACTTTGTGAAAATGCAGGACGCGGCACAAAAGCTGCTCGGTGTGTATACTGAAGCACCCAAGGGAAATTCGAACCATCCTGGTTCAAGTCAGCCTCGTCATACTGATGCTGCAAAGGAATGTGATGCAACAAATGACAATGAGAAGGGTTATTCATCTCAGATAGCCGACGATGCGTTTTGGAACGATCCTGTTACATTGGCGGCAATAGATGACATTTTGAAGGCAGTTGAACAACGGGAGCGTTTTATGAAAATTCACTGCGAGGGACCTAGTTACAGCTTGGGCTTGGGCCTATCATCCGATGACGAAATTGCCGATGATAACCATGATCACGCGAGTGTGGCAGCAAATGCAGATGTAAATCTTGAATTGGACAGAGTTCAACCCACAATTGAGACGATGCTTGTAGTAGATGCACAAATAGGTACATGACAGTAATTTCTCATTCATATATGTACGTGTAATTTTTTTAGCATGCTCGGTTTTCCATCATGGTGTTGTTTATCCATTTTATAACATATATGTGTATATATACGCACGTGTATGTGTAGGCTATGGCGGTGATGATGTTCGTGTATCTCCGAGGCCGAAGAGGCGCATCAAGGCTACCAGTGCAATGAAATCTCCCTACAAACAGAGAGCCATTGATGTGGTTAAGAAGCTCGATGGGCACGAGAAGATGATAGTCAACTGGATATTGAAGAATGATGTTACCGACGGGTATGATTATTGTTAGTTTGTTATAATCGAGACATATAATTAATGCAATATTATTCTAATTTTTGTTTTCTTTGCATACGCATGATTATGTACACGCACACAGCGACCTTGTTATATTCCAGTCATCCGGCTACTCCGTGAAGAAGGCTGTCGTGGAGTGTTTGCTGCCAAATACCCCAGTTACAAATGAACTATTAGCGTTATGGTCATGCATCCTTAACTATAGTGAGAATTTAAAAAGTCGTGGTGCGGCTACATGTTTTTTTGCATCTACGTCCCTATGCAATGAGGTGTGTGACTTTAGTTTATGCGGTTTTTATAATATGTACGTGTTTACGAATATATGAGTGGTTTCTTAAGTTAATGTCGTTTAAAAATGATCCCGAGTTTTGGTTTACTTATATATTATACAGGGTTCATCTTAAATACCAGGCAAGTGTCTTAGGAGGATCGGTCTTATTTCCTGTTACTTTATTTGTCTTGAAACAAATCAGTAATTTGATCATATTGCATTAACGATATTATGAAAACCATTTAATCTTAACTACGTGACCATGCTTTGTAGTAGTTTCTATAACTGTTATCTTGTGGGTATCTCATGTTATCCTGGGTTGGTAATGCTGATATATTGTGTTATGTTTAAACACACATGCATTTTTTCCTTTTTCCGCTTGATTGGTATTGTGATCTGCATCATTGTGGGTTGCAGCTATTTTTCGATGGCAAAAGGAGGAAGGAAGTGAGCTACAAAAAGTTCGCTCAGTCGCTAGATTCCGAAATCGCACGAATGTCTATTTACCAATTGAAGCAGATATCGATGGTAAATGTACATTATATTGTAATCTTCTCGTTATTTACGTGAACATCTCTATTGGATTACTATTTCGTTTAAATCTTTTTTGCTTTTTCTCAGTTTTTATTTCCCGTGCATTCTGGGATGTTTTCGGGGTTATTGTGTGTTGCGCCGGAATCTCAAAAGTACACGATTTTAGATAGCGCCGGTAATTGCAAAGATGTGTCTGTGAAGAAAGCTCTCATGTCACGTGCCGAGCTATTGGTAATGTTATAATATACATATGCGTGATTTTGTTAACAGTTGTTTGTATTTTTTTTATTTTGTTTTGTTTTTTTTTTTTTATTATTTTGCATGTATCAACCGTGGTTTGAATTGTTACAGCAACAATCGATATCAAAGTATTTAGGCGAGAGAAATTTGTCAAGGAGTTCTAAATCGGTTGGATTAGCCATTCCAGACGTTGTTGACATGGCATGGATCGATGGGGTCGACAAGGCTGATGTTGGTGTGATCACAATGCGCCACATGGAGACTTTTAAGGGTGTTGTCGGTAAGAGCTGGAATCCACAACTAAAGATAGGAGATAAGGTACAAATGAAGCTCATGAGGAAGCGCTATATTTACGTCATCGCTTGTGCCCCAAACAATGCACTGAAGGAGATTAATCTTAGTGAAGCAAAGAGATTCCATCCTGTGTATCTCGCAAATAAGCAACACATTACATCGTGATCGTTTTAATGATGTAGATAGTGAAACTTTTGAGCTGGTACTCGTTCTGATGTTTTTGTGGATCATGGTTGGCTGGTTAATTTCGTGTGAACGACGTGTTTTGAGGTCATGACGCCTGTAGGGATAATGATGCACTGGATTTTTGCTTTTAGCTGTCTTGGACGTCTTCACGTTTTGATGGCATGTTATTGTATGATCAAAATTTAGATACTCAGGTGGTTTATGTCAGTGGTCTTTGGTTATGACTTACATATATAATGTGCACATTAGATATATACATTATGCAATATTGTACACTTTGTTGTGCACAACAAGATTATCGCATATACATTTTTTAGTGTTGCTTGTTAATGTATTCTACAATTGTGTGAGATTTGCTCGAGTGTGCATATCTTATAGATAATGGGTTTAACAAGTTGACGTCGTGTGCAATTGTGACACGTGTACTGTGCAATGTAATTGTATATTTTTTGCTTTTTGTTTTACATTCTACATAGGCTTCTTTTGTTTTTTTTTTCTTTTTTTCGTTTATCGTTTTGTTTGTTTTGCTCTTTCTTTTTGTCTCCTGTATGTATGAATTATTAATCTATCATGTTTATCATATGTGTGTAATTGTATTTTGAATTGTAAAAAAA